ATGGATCCGAACAGCAGAAGTGTAGACACCAATCATGCCAACTCGTTTGAGTTACGGGATAAATCGGATCTACCTGCTGCAGACAAGATTGCCGACCCACGCGAGCGATCAGGCTCGTTGTGGACGACTAGAAGTACGGTGGTTACAACTGAGAGACCCATCTATCGCACCCGATCCATCCGGCAAAAGTATGTCAAGGCTGAAGAAAAGAAGAAAAGTTTCAAGGTAATTAAAGGATGTATGCATTTAAATTTATCTAGGCAATGTTTCCCTGTTGTGAATTTGAATTTAAACAGTTTTGAGTGACTGATTCTTTCAATCAATTATTCATTCGGTTCAAACAGGGGCTGAGTGGTCTCGAGGCATGGCGTCCACCTCGAGTTCTGGAGGTCCCGGGTTCATACCCCGGTAAGGGCTTGGATTTTTTCACTTTTTCACGTGGACTTAAGTCTCTGGGTAGCGAGATCGGACGCCCGTGTGTATTGTTGCGCACGTTTCAAAAAAATATCTTGGCAGTTGGAAATCAGAAAGAGTAGCCTAACGGCGTTGCCTGGGCAAAATCTTTTGTTTCAATATCTACCCAAAGTATTTCAGGATCCTCGCCGGTGCTACGGAATTCGTGCACTGCGCTGAGTGTTTCGGACTCAGGCTTGAGTTGGAAATAGAAAGGAACACTTTTTTTTCACCACCCTAGTGCCACGAGGAAGAGTTTTCTGTCAATTGCTGGATGGATAGCAATGTCTATTGTCATCCGCGTCGACACGGCAGATCTTTAATGTCACCAGTTCATGTCAAATTAAATACATGTTCAAAAGGTTAGGAGACGAACAAAAGAAATCGGCAAATTAGATGTTTATTTATGCCACATTATTCTCTAAATCACCTGCATTTTAAACAAACGGTCGCCATGGAGACTGACGTCAATTTCAATGTCTGATTATGCAGATTATAGATTCAGACTGGAAGTTTCAAATACAGAAATTTGGCAACATTCGTCTTAGATGTCATGGCAACTTAAATTGTTTCCTGGGCAGACTTCCTCCAAGACGAGGTTGTCAGCCCAGATCCTGCAGGCAAAATCTGCCATCAATTCTCTACACTTGGGCACACACAAAATAACATCGAAAAATGTTGTTCGAATAAATGTAAATGAGATAAACGTCTGCACGTTGGTTATAAGACAAAACAATGGGAATATATTCCGCACATGATGAGAGATTAAAAGGTCCGAGAGAAACTTTAGGACGAACGTTTTTGGGAGAGGCAAAAGGTGGCGGACTGGGGTTCGTCAATGATATATACAGGACTGCACAGGGTAGACCGAATGTGGACAAAGATCCCCATGTGAGGTAACGGCACAAAAGGATGATGTTGTTGATGATGATGGTGATTGTTATTAATTTAAAGCACAAATGGCAGTATCGTCGAAAACAAAATTATCAACTATTCTTCCCTGTGGCCGCGAATATCGTTTTTCTCCCACTGTAAGCATTCAGTGATTGTCTCCTTTCCATATACGTCAGTGTCGCTTTTCTTTTAATAATAATAATAATAATATTAATAATAATAATAATATTAATAATAATAATCTTCTTCTTCTTCTTCTTCTTCTTCTTCTTCTTCTTCTTCTTCTTCTTCTTCTTCTTCTTCTTCTTCTTCTTCTTCTTCTTCTTCTTCTTCTTCTTCTTCTTCTTCTTCTTCTTCTTCTCCTCCTCCTCCTCCTCCTCCTCTTCTTCTTCTTCTTCTTCTTCTTCTTCTTCTTCTTCTTCTTCTTCTTCTTCTTCTTCTTCTTCTTCTTCTTCTTCTTCTTCTTCTTCTTCTTTTCTTCCTTCATCATCATCATGTTCATCTCTGTCTTCTTCTTCTGCTACTAGTATTACTACTACTATTAATGGCTGTTTTTACAACTTCTACTACCCTTAGTACAAAAACTACTACTATTACTACTACTGCTACCGCTAATACTGCTACCACCACTACTAATATTACAACTGCTGATGCCACTATTACAGCTGCTCCTCCTACTACTACTACAACTACTACTATTACTAATACTGCTGCTGGTGATGATGATGATGATGATGATGATTTTAATGCTGCTGCTGCAACTACTGCTAATACTGTTACCAACGCCACAACTACCACCACCACCACTAATATTACAATTACTGCTGCTTCTTTTTCTTCAACAACACCAACAACAAAAACAACAACAACAACAACAACAAACTACTACTACTACTACTACTACTACTACTACTACTACTACTACTACTACTACTACTACTACTTCTACTACTACTACTACTACTACTACTACTGCTGCTGCTGCTGCTACTACTACTACTACTACTACTATTACTACTACTGCTACTGCTGCTGCTGATGATGATGCTTTTGCTGCTGCTGCTGCAACAACTGCTACTACTACCACTACCGTGACCACTAACTTCACTACTACCGTCACAGTAACTGTGTGCACCCATTACTACGATTTAATTAAGATCTGACAGGAAAACATGTACAAGTGACCTCCTGTCTTGTGTGTTATCCAGGACACACTACGGACCAAGGTCAAGGATTCGTTGAAGTGTGACAGACAGAAGTGGAAGAATGCTGCCCTCAGTGTCTTCCCTTTCATCCGCATCATGAGAAAGTACCAGTGGAAGAGCGACCTTCCAGGTGATATCACTTCCGGTCTGACAGTGGGCATTATGCAACTACCACAGGGTGATTATTGTATTGTTGTAGTGTTTTGTGTGTGTGTGTGTGTGTGTGTGTGTGTGCACGTGTGTTTGTGTTTGTGTCTATAAATGATTTGTTACTTGTTTATGTTTGCGTGTTTCTTTTTGTTGCTTATTTCGCTTCTCCGTGTTTGTTATTATCCACAGAAACAATGTATGTATGCTAGAACGACTACACCACATCAAAGTGTGAGAACGCTGACGCCATGTATGATTGAAAAAACAATCATACCAGACACAATATCTATCGGTATGGTCCAATGTTTCCATGAAGAAACCCTGATAACAATCCAGAGCCCTCATGGTCAAACGAATAAAGGGCGACCCAAAAGCCACGGAGAAGAGAATTAGAGGAGGCAATGGAAAATACAACCACCACACAAAAATAATAATAATAATAAGAAGAAGAAGAGAAGAAGAAGAAGAATACGATGGTGGTGGTGGGGATGATGATGATGGTGATGATGATGATGATGGTAATGATGATAATGAATAATAATAATAATAATAATGTAATAATAATAATAATTATTATTATTAATTTTAAGAAGAAGAAGAAGAGGAAGAAGCAAAAAAAAAGATTTAAAAAAACATGAGTAAGAAGAAAGAAGAATACAACAAGAAGAAGAAGAAGAAGAAGAAGAAGAAGAAGAAGAAGAAGAAGAAGAAGAAGAAGAAGAAGAAGAAGAAGAAGAAGAAGAAGAGGAGGGGGAATCAAAACACACACACACACTTAAAAGAAAGAGGGGCATGAGGAGATGAAGGAGGATACCTGTAGTATTTTAATGTATTCTGTAACTAGACCTGTCGGCTCTGTGGCTAAGTCGATGCGAACGCTTCGTAATGCCGGGATGCCGGGTTCGATCCCAGCTATGGGCCATGCGCCTTGCCTTAGTTTCGACAGTGGTATCAAGAAAGCCGACCGTCCATAGAGCAATGGCAAACTGCTGGACGTAAATTTGAGTAGAAAAACCACACAACAGCCAGGAGCTGTTCTGGTTGGTTCTGGAACGTCCTGTAAAGGATACGCAACTCACCCAACCAGACCTAATCTGTTTCATGTTGTAGTCTGTAGTGGCAGTTTGCAGTTGTGCAGTCTGTAACTATATGTTTTCCATAGAAGTATACAGTTATCAGTAGCTGTTTGCGTCAGATACTCACAGATGAACAAGATATCTAGTGTTCACAGATACTTTTGACTGGCACTTTCAGGGATGGCCTATGCGATGTTGGCGGACCTTCCTCCTGTTGTTGGCCTCTACGTGTCGTTTTTCCCCGTCATCATCTACTTCCTCTTCGGCACCTCCAAGCAGACATCCATGGGTAAGTACTTTGACCTTCGTTGTTGCAAATTTCCCTATTTCCAGGCGATATTGCTAGATTGCGTTATATGAGGACGATGATCGTGTTAAGCCAGATCTGCTCGTATTTAAGCAGACTTCCTTCTCTCAATAGAACATAGTAAAAGTAAAGGTAAAAGAAATGACCCTTTCCCACTCCTTCAGGCGTGTTGTGCATATATGGCTAGATATGTATTTTATAGAGCCAACGGCACATGGTGGGTGATGTGGTCAGAATCACACCGGCCGTCTTTACTTCCCAGGACTATACCTGGTACACACTCAGGCTGGGTCAATCTGGGAGTCTAGGTCTTTTTTTAAATGTAAAATGTAGTGTTGCAGTAAAAGGTAGTGTTGCAGTAAAATGTAGAGCTGGGTAAAATGTAGTGTTGGTGTAAAATGTAGTGCTAGAGTAAAATGTAGTGTTGGTGTAAAATGTAGTGTTGCAGTAAAATGTAGTGTTGCAGTAAAATGTAGTGTTGGTGTAAAATGTAGTGTTGCAGTAAAATGTAGTGTTGCAGTAAAATGTAGTGTTGGTGTAAAATGTAGTGTTGGTGTAAAATGTAGTGCTAGAGTAAAATGTGGTGTTGGTGTAAAATGTAGTGTTGCAGTAAAATGTAGTGTTGCAGTAAAATGTAGAGCTGGGTAAAATGTAGTGTTGGTGTAAAATGTAGTGGTAGAGTAAAATGTAGTGTTGGAGTAAAATGTACTGTTGGCGTGAAATCTAGTGTTGTAGTAAAATGTAGTGTTGCAGTAAAATGTAGTGTTGATGTAAATTGTAGTGTTGATGTGGTAAGTGGTCAAGCCGTTTGCCTCACAATTTGAAGGCTTAGGTTCGTTTCTCGGCTGGGTCGCGCGGTTCACGAATGCAGTTTTTAATGAGATCCCTTGGAATCGTCGCCGGAGCTATGGGGTTAGTGCTTTGTAAGATGCAGGCGGCAACCCAATCTTAGGAGGAAGACGGAGCCAAATAAGATAAAACCCACTGCAGTGAAGTCGATGCTGTCAACTTTAACTGTAACGTTTAGCCATTATTTGCTTCAGCAGTCCTGTAATAGACACTCTGTCGTGAGTACCAGCATGTTCTCATTCACTTTCCGGCCCACTACTTCAATTTTAGATGACCCCATCTCGTCGGCTTCAAGATTTGGTAGGGAAATCCCCAGAAAGTCCCGTAGTATAGGGGGTTAGTGTTAGCAGTCGTCACTATTAATTTAACATTAGTTCTAACCCTTACCCATGGTACTACCCATGGAAATCTCTTTGAATTTCAGACGACATCTCGAAGTTGACAAGATGAGGTTGTCTAAAATCAAACTAACCACGTTTTTAGACACTTTTCGAGTAGTACCAGCGCAAAAACCAACATCACCTAATGTCGCCTCTATTTATAGACCTTTGAGTATCGTGTCTATTTGTAGATCTTTGCGCCTGGTGGCTAGTATTTAGCCAGGGCTACAGTTGTATCCCGCCACGTGCCGTTGACGTCAATGATATGCCTCAATTCGCCTTTTTAAACAGGCCGGCCAGTATGTTTGTTCTTCAGAACGTTTGTTTGTAGATGAGACGAGTCCAGCGGCTTGACATCTGTCGGATTCTTAACCCTGTACAAACGTTAGAGCGTGACCCTTATTGTCTGTTACTTCAACGTCTTGCTGCAGCTAAAGATGTCACATGAAATTTAAAGTTACTGTATTTTTCTGAGTATAAGACGCCCTATGTATAAGACGACCCCCAAGTTTTTAGCTCGAAATTAAGAAAGTGAACACATTCTGTGAATTTACGACTCCTATGTTTTTAACTCAAAATTAAGAAAGTGAACACATTCCGTATATAACGCATTTTTAAACTTTCAAAATCTGGAACATCTTTTGCGCGGGAAAATGCAGCAGTTTTACTATGTTGTTGCACCAAGATACAGCTGTAGAGCTTTAAATGTTTTATAACAGAAATAAATAAACAGATAAGGAACCATTGAGGCCGTAGAATAAATACTCTGATCAACACTCATAGAAAGAATTCGAAAAACAGAAGGAATCGAACCTGTTGCGTCCAAATAACGAAAACGTCTCGCTGCAGGACAATTGTACTAAGCTGTGTGACCACCACAGGGGATTGTCTTCACTAGCTATACCTGTCTTTCAGCTGAAACCCACAACTATGGTATACAGAAAGAATTCGTCTTAAACCAATGAAATTGCACCACAGGTTACATAAATTCGTATCAACGTAGCATAGGTCAAATAACAAACACAACAACACTTATAAACACATCGGACCGTAATGCTCAACCAACAATTATTAGAGAAAGCGTAACAATTTGTCAACCAGCGATACAAAGATCAACCAGACTCCCAGCACTCACAAGCAAATAAAATTTGTCACACGCAAACAAAAACATATAATTTAACAAATATTCTAAAGACTACGATTGGTCTATAAAATATAGGTCTGCCCTATATGCCCAATACGTCTGAAGGTGTGGAAAGGGGTCCTTTACTTTTACCTTCTTCTTCTTCTTCTTCTTCACTTCCTCTTTTACCGCTGTGGGTGTCGAGGGAGATATTAGGTTCTGTTTCTAGCTCTTCTGGCTGCCTCGACCATAGGCACATCGTGCTGTTGTAGAGTTTCTCTGATGTTATCCTTCCAACTTGTTCTTGGTCTACCCCGTGCTCTACGTTCTTCTTCTCTTTCCATGTATGCTTTGTATGGTATGGTGTCACAAGGCATTCTCTCTAAGTGGGCAAACCATTTCACTTGCTGTCTTTGTATGTAATCCTGAATTGGTTCTGTGCCGACTTGTTCTCTTATGATCTCATTCCTGATCTTATCTCTTATGGTCACTCCTACAGTCCTTCACAGACATCTCATTTCCGTGGTTACTAATTTTCTTTTATGGTTTGTTGTGAGTGACCATGTCTGGCACTGGTAGCACAGAGTTGGAATAAATATGCTTTGAATAAGATGTCTCTTTGTGCTGATTGGGATTGTCTTATGCTGTAAGAGGGAGGCTAGCTGTCCCAATACTTGGTTTGCTTTACTGCATCTAATGTCCTTTACTTTTACTTTATATCTAGTTAATTGACCGATTATTCTCAGCGCACATCGTACAAATCCATAAGCTCTTGGATTCCATCTATGGTATCTTTGGTTTGCTATTTTTCTTTGGCGACCTGCAGAGTGTTCATGTGTGACGAAGTGAAGTGTGTGTAGTCTTGTCAAGGTTGCCGTTTGACAATCGTCCCCTGAACCATCTACTCGTCCTGCCTGTTTGGGAGCATTGAGATCATCAGCCTGGTTTATTGTTTTCCTGTGCCTACCCAAGCACTTCCAGCCAGCCAGTCCACTCATTTATTCCCTCTTACACCAGAATATCCTGTCACAAAATTGAATGTATTTATGATATCTTGTTGTCATCGTACAGGCACTGTCGCAGTTGTTAGTCTTATGACTGGTGGTGTAGTTGCTGGGCAGGCTACTTGGTGGCGGAAGGAGCATGGGCTCGATGATTTAGCAGCTAGTGGAAATATGACTCTAGAATGGAGTGAACAAGAAATGATTTTCAAGATATCTATAGGTGCCTCTGTGGCCTTTGTGACAGGTCTAGTACAGGTGAGTTAGCCAGTACCTGTCCTCCTCCCTGGTGTTTTCCCTGCGTGCTTAAAGACTAGACTAGCTACGTTTATGTCCCATACTGCTTGTTTTGTTAGCTATTGTTTGGTGTTCATGTCCCTATCTAGGTATGTTCATTTTCAAATCGCTATGTGTTCATGTCCCTATCTATTTATGTTCATTTTCAAATCGCTATGTGTTCATGTTCCTATCTATATACGTTCATTTCCAAACGATGTGTTCATGTTTACATTTTAATTGCTATGCGTTCCTATTCAAGTCTATTCATGTTCCAGTCTTTATATGTTTATTTTCAAACCCCCGTGTGTTCATATTTTAATCCAGATATATTTAGTTTCCAATCCATGTATGTTCATGTTCTAGTCTAGGTATGTTCAGTTTCCAGTCCACGTGTGTTAATTTTCCAATCTAGGCTTATTCAGTTTTTAAGCCATGTGTACTCGTGTGCTAATATGTTCAGCTTCTAATCTATATGTGTTCATGTTCACATCTAGTTATGTTCAGTTTCAAATCCACATGTGTTCATATTCAAATTTAGGTATGTTCAGTTTCCAATACATTTGTGTTCATGTTCCAATGGAATATGCAAAGTTTCTTATCTATATGTGTTCATGTTCCAATCTATATATTACAATTTCTAGTCAATGTGTGTTCATGTTCCAATCTATATATTACAATTTCTAGTCAATGTGTGTTTATGTTCTTATCTATATATTACAATTTCTAGTCAATGTGTGTTTATGTTCCAATCTATATATTACAATTTCTAGTCAATGTGTGTTCATGTTCTAATCCATATATTACAATTTCTAGTCAATGTGTGTTCATGTTCTAATCCATATATTACAATTTCTAGTCAATGTGTGTTCATGTTCTAATCCATATATTACAATTTCTAGTCAATGTGTGTTCGTGTTCTAATCTTGTTATGTTCAGTCTCTAATCTTTGTATGTTAATGGTCCAGTCTAAGTATGTTCAGTTTCCAATCTTTTTGTCTCCATATTTTAAAACAGACATGTTCAGTTTCCAATTCGTGTGTGTTTATGTTCTAGTCTAAACTTGTTAAATTTCCAGCCCATGTATCTTAATATTTTAATCTAGACATGTTTTTTTTCCCTCTCCCCTTTTTATATGCTATTGGTGCATCGGGCATATGATGCTACACTCTTGTTTTTATAGACCAGGGGCCTCCGAGGTCTCGAGGCATGGTGTCCGCCTCGATGGCTAGAGGTTCCAGGTTCAATCCCCGGTAAGCGCTGGGATATTTTCACGTGGACTCGGACTTCTTGTAATTACCCCTTGTCTCTGCGTAGTGAGATCGGACGCCCGTGTGCATTGTTGCGCACGTAGAAAATCTCTTGGCAGTTGGCAAATCGAAAAGAGTAGCCTAACGACGCTGCCCGGGCAAAATTGGGAGTTAAAAATCTACCCAAAGTATTTCAGGACCCTCGCCGGTGCTACAGAGCATGTGCACTGTGCTGAGCTTTTTCCGACTCAGACTTGAGTTAGAAGAAGAGCGTAGCACTTATGCCTTACTACCTGTGTGACTTGATGTTGATCCGTTGTTCACAACCTCAAACCTTTTATAACCTTAAAGGGTGATGTGTTTGATATCACGCCGGCCGCCTTTACTCCCCGGGACTTTACCTAGTACCCATTTAAGACCAAGTTGACCTGGAAGCCAAGGTCATGTAGGAAAGAATCTAGCACTTTGCGGATTCGAACCCACGACCTTTAGATCCGCATGTGAGCGTATGCCTTAATTATCAAGGTGTCCGATTTCCTGATGTTCACGAATAATTCCTTTTCTCGCTGAACCAGATTGCCTTAGGACTGTTACACGTGGGCTTTGTAACCACTTACATGGGCGACTCGTTGGTCAGCGGGTTCACCACAGGAGCCGCCCTGCACGTGTTCACTAGCCAGGTGAAGTACGTCTTTGGGATCTCCATACCCCGGTTCCCGAACATGTTTCAGATTATCAATGTAAGTATACGTCTGTTTGTATACGTATAGATTATGTCCCTGCAGACGCTCACAGTGTTTTGCCCACCAAAAAAAATAAAACCGGGTTTTATATTAATGTGTGTATTGGCAAGGCTATCTCGGTCAACAAATGCCCGCAGAAGTCGGATTTGTTGGTCGAAAGGAGCAAATATCGGAGCCATGCTGTAAACGGACACAGCGCAATAAGATCTTCAGATAAATACTGAAAAAGGAAGAAGAAGAAGAAGAAGAAGAAGAAGAAGAAGAAGAAGAAGAAGAAGAAGAAGAAGAAGCAGAAGATAAAGAAGAAGAAGAAGAAGAAGAAGCAGAAGAAGAAGAAGAAGAAGAAGAAGAAGAAGAAGAAGAAGAAGAAGAAGAAGAAGAAGAAGAAGAAGAAGAAGAAGAAGAAGAAGAAGAAGAAGAAGAAGAAAACAAAGAAGATGAAGAAGAAGACAAAGAAGAAGAAGAAGAAGAAGAAGAAGAAGAAGAAGAAGAAGAAGAAGAAGAAGAAGAAAACAAAGAAGTCAAAGAAGAAGAAGAAGATATAATGGTGTGCTTTAAAAAATACCAAACGCTGATGTTCGGGGATGTTTTTTGTTTCAGATTAACTGATTCATTGTCCCGTTGTCTCATTATATGTCAAATATGGCTCGCAGTCTATTCCTCCATTCCGTTCTGTCCTGTTTAATCAATTCAATGTCATAGGTGACATCTAGTCCAGTAGCTTTAGCCTCTCTCATCAACGTTCGTTTTATAGTTTCTTATGGGCGTCCTCGCTTCCTTAATACCTTTATCTCCCATATTATTGCGCCACTGGTGATTCTTTGCTTGTTTCTTGTTAGGGTGTGTCCAATATGACGCCATCTTTCTGTCTTATAACTGTAGATACTAATGGTTGCCCAGATATATTTTTTATATATGCTAGGTCTTTATATTCATTCATTCATTTGTGTGTGTGTGTGTTTTTTTTTGTGTGTTTTTTTTTTTTTTTTTTTTTTTTTTTTTTTTGTTTTAGTACAAAAAATATAAATTTACTTACTAAATTGTCTTCTAGAACATTGCCATAACTCTAAATCTCCAAATCCTGAATTCCCGCCTGAATTTCTTGCCACTCCATTTCCTGTCTAACGATTGGCTGCAGTCTCTCATGTGCAGCAATAAAGATTTCCTTGAATGACCATTTCTTGTCTATGTCGCCTGCTCGTAGTGCAATGGTGCCAGCTGGAAGTGATTATCTCCCCTGTATGCTGAATATATCTAGTCAACTCCTTGTGGGATGCAATTTTTCATTTTTTGAAGCCCCACCCTGGCTCTTACCAGGGGCCACAATATAGCCCGACCATAAATAAGGTTTGATTCTCTGAACGCGGTTTCTCCACGGGTGATCCGCATCCGCATGGTTGCACTTTGTGTCATCGGGTGTTTATCGCTTGTGTGATATCCTAGTGGGCTTAAATGTACTACTCGCCTTGAATTCATCACCTGAGTCACGACGTCCTGCATACTAGGGCTCCAATAATTTTCCAGGTTAACTCACATTTTCCAGGTTGAATTATCATCTTCTGTTGTCAAGGAGACATAATCTATGGCTAGGCGTTGCGAACGCGCTGCATAATGCCTGGGTGTCGGGTTCGATCCCAGCTGCGGACGGTTAGTCTTATGTTGATTTCGACAGTTGAGCCTCCATTAAGCAATAGCAAACTACTGAACGTAAAATTCGCTTAGAAAAATCACAACAGCCAAATGAATTCTGGGGTTGGTTGTGCAACGTCCTGTAAAGTATACGCAACTAACTTTAGTATTATTGTACTCCCAGCTCAACCAGGACTTGAGTGGGTACCAGGTGCAGTCCCGGGAAGTAAAGGCGGTCGGCGTGATGTTGACCAAGTCTCCCAACAAGTGCCAGTTTGTCTATAAAATATATTATTTTTTTTGTGTGGACAGTGTAGGTTGTACTGAAAAGAAAATTGCGGGTACGTGATGGCAAGTTTTGGTGTCTTGTCACTGAAGTCTATAAGCGATACATAATTTACAAAAGTAAAGTAAAGATCCCTTTTCACGCCTTAGGCGCATCGGGTATATGGGAAGAGCGTCCATAACTTTACAGACCAATCGGAATTGGATGGGTAATGTGGTCAGCATTACGCCGGCCGTCTTTACTTTCCCAGGACAGCCATTCTGGTACCCATTTTAGGCTAGGTCGACCTGCGACGCCCCATACCATGATAAAAATCCACGCAGCCAGCAGTGGATTTCGATCGCGGTACGTAGGAATTACGACTCGGATTCGCAACGCTTAAGCCACGGACGCAGCAAGCGATATATAACATTGAGATTTTATTTGCATTGTGTTTTGTCATGCAGACATAAAGTATTATCTGAAATGACAATAGTTTGTGTGTGTCTTCTCATTGAAACATACATTTTGATGACAACATTCTAAATAGGTCTTTCCGTGGCAAAGTGGGCGTTTGCCTCGCACTCTAAATGTTATGCGTTCGTTTCACGGCGTTTCATGAGTGCAATTTTTACCGAGATCCCTAGGGATCGTCGCCTGAGCTACGGAGGTCGCGCACTGTGAAAGGCTCTCGGCAGACATCTAGCTGTTCTGCAGAGAGAGACTGAGCCATATGGGGTATAACCCGGTGCAATGAAGTCATCCTCTCATCTTTACCTTTACCTTTATATCTTCCCCTGCAGACATACATAGCCATCATCGGGAAGCTGACGGAAACCAACATAGCTACCCTGGTGTTGTCCGTAATTTGTATGGTAGTTCTGTACCTGGTCAAGACGCAAATCAACGACAGGTTCAAGAGCAAGCTCAAGATGCCTGTGCCAGTAGAGTTGCTGGTGGTAAGTTGAATAAAGCTGTTGTTTTTTTTTTTTTTTTCTAAGCTGTTGTTTCTGCGGGTTCGAATCCTCGGTAAGGCTGGGGATTTTTTTCCTCACCTGCACAGTCGTGGCGACAGCACTAGCCATGCGGACGTCAATCCTCAGACTCAAAGACTCCCCTGCCTACACCGCGAAAATAATATAATAACGGCAGAAATTGGCAGTTTTTTTTTTTTTGGGGGGGGGGGGGGGGGGGGGGGGGGGGCAGTTTTGGCAGCTGTTTTTGTGCTATTGTTTCTGTGATGTTGTGTCTGAGATGTTGTTATTGTTGTTTGTTGTTGTCTGTGTCTGTCTGCAGAAATATTGGGTCTCCTCGACTTGCGACTGGTAGTTCGGTTGCGACTAAATGGTCGTAAAACGAATTTAAATATATATATTTTTTTTACACTATTCTAATTCAAGTGAGTTATTTAAAAAAAAAAAAAAATTACAATCTATGTTCGTATAAATATTGTATATAATGTGAGAAAAGGGAGTGCGGAAAGGGGGATGGGGGGTGGGGTGGGGGGGGGGGGAGAGAAAGTAGCATTTAAATGACAGCACAATCTATTATTTGAATAAATGGCGAGGCATGATCAGCTCGCTTGTCTGCGTTAGCAGATAACGATTATACGGGAAAGGATATCACTTGATATTTTTCTTCTTATCGTTTTGCTGCTAAGAGCATGCGTGAGCAGTCAGAATAGTGGTATTATTAACTGGTAGTTCTCATACATTACAGATTATGCATGAGTAGCTTAAGCATGCAACGACCGTTGTTTTCGCTATTTTGTATACTTTTGACAAGCTGTACATACCCCGCTAGACGTTAAGCAAGTTTCGTTTTTGTAATAAATAGAAAGTTAATTTCGTTTCCTTTACAGGACGTTGCAGAACCAACCCCAGAATTTGCTCAGCTGTTGGGGTTTTTCTAGACAAATTTACGTTCAGTAGTTTACCATTGCAACTGTACTTCGGTTTACGATCCCACCGCCAAAACCAACGCCGGGCGTTCTGTTGCGAAATCGCTTTCAGCTGGGATCGAACCTGGCAGCCTGGCATTACAAAATGCGATCTCAACGCCTAAGCCACGGACGCTGACAATAAATAGCAAACAAACAAAATAGTAGAATAATGCATTTTTATTTTTAATTTGCAGTTGAAAGTGTAAGGGGTTATTCCAGCCGTGACCTACTTTAGATCTAAAGTAGGTCATGTTGCAGCCGTTATATGCATGTCTCGCCACTGGTTTGAATACACATGCTGTAATATTTTGGTCACATCAAGCGCCATGGCGGATTGCAAAATAATAATAGCAGAAGGCATGTTATCAGGAAGGAGGGTCAGGGACCGACCAATACGAAGATGGCCACAGGATAGAAGTCACTACTTGAATATAAAAAGTACATGTGGCGGGAGAGCTGGCGAGAGACCGAGAGTTTCCTTTATGCAGAACGTGATGAGACTAATTCTGAAAAGAACCTGCTATATGATGATGACGATGTAGGATGTTTGACCACATAAACATCCTTTGATAAGGACACAACATTCTTTTGCTAGCAGTGGTTGATCTTCTTGTTCTTGTTGAGGATTTCAAGTGGATGTGTTGACCCACTTTTGCCTAAAAAGCATACCATAAATGACGACTAATTAGGAGTTTGGCAAAATTAGATGTTTTTTAGCAAAAAATCGCAGACATTACAGTCTAGCTTCAAACCACAATCCAGATTTTGGCCCGCTCTCTTTTACAGATGACGGTAGAAGACTTACTTAGACGCTTCTCTTCTACCGTGGGGTGTCGAGGTTTGCCACAAAGATCTCCAGACTTCTCTATCTGCAGTTTAACCAATGCCAGTTGGTTCTCGTTAACTTCCGTGTGTTTTGAAGGTAGATAAAGACTACATTTTGCGTCTGGCCACTGCACGGCGGCGTCTGCCTTGAGTGTATGTGTACATGCATATGTATGTGTGTAAGCAAACGCATGTTCATGCATTCCCACAGGGGCATGTGCCCATGTGTGTACACATCCACACGAGCAGCCCCTCCTCAGCAGCCATCTCTAGGTACTAGAGTACCGCTCCAAGCTTCTAGTTTTTGTGCAATTAACTTGGCCAACAAAATTGGCACAAAGAAACAAGACTACAATTGTAACCGATGCTGCTCGAAGTAGGTTGAACGTGGTCGATTTTTTGTTTTGTTTCACACAATTGGATAGATGGATGGATGGATGGATGGATGGATGGATGGATGGATGGATGGATGGATGGATGGATGGATGGATGGATGGATGGATGGATGGATGGATGGATGGATGGATGGATGGATGGATGGATGGATGGATGGATGGATGGATGGATGGATGGATGGATGGATGGATGGATGGATGGATGGATGGATGGATGGATGGATGGATGGGTAGGTATACCCCCAAACAGATCTGACATGAGAATGTTGAGGACTGCATCTTGTAATCTGGGGCATGTCTCTTGTGTCTGTAGGTTGTCGTGAGCACGCTGGCGTGTCATTATGGCGAGTTCAAGAAACGGTGGCATGTCAAGGTCGTGGGTGAGATCCCGGCTGGGTAATATGTGCTCAACAGTATATGTGTTATCATCACCATCGTCATCATCATCATCATAACCATCGTCGTTATCATAATCTTCGTCATCACCATCATCACCATCGTCGTCATCATCATCATCGTCATCATCATCATCGTCGTCATCATCATCGTCATCATCATCATCGTCATCATCATCATCACCGTCATCATCATCACCGTCATCATCATCACCGTCATCATCATCACCGTCATCATCATCATCATCATCATCGTCACCATTGTAATCATCATCATCGCCGTCATCATTATTGTCATCCTCATCATCATCATCATCGTCATCATCTTCATCGTCATCATCCTCAACACATACATACTGTTTCCTAAACACGTACATCTGATCTGTTTCCTAAATTCTTACATCTGCGCTGTTTCCTAAACAGTTACATCCATGCTGTTTCCTAAACAGTTACATCCATGCTGTTTCCTAAACAGTTACATCCATGCTGTTTCCTAAACAGTTACATCCATGCTGTTTCCTAAACAGTTACATCCATGCTGTTTCCTAAACAGTTACATCCATGCTGTTTCCTAAACAGTTACATCCATGCTGTTTCCTAAACAGTTACATCCATGCTGTTTCCTAAACAGTTACATCCATGCTGTTTTCCTAAACAGTTACATCCATGCTGTTTCCTAAACAGTTACATCCATGCTGTTTCCTAAACAGTTACATCCATGCTGTTTCCTAAACAGTTACATCCATGCTGTTTCCTAAACAGTTACATCCATGCTGTTTCCTAAACATTTACATCCATGCTGTTTCCTAAACAGTTACATCCATGCTGTTTCCTAAACAGTTACATCCATGCTGTTTCCTAAAGACTTACATCTGCGCGGTTTCCTAAACCATACATGCTGTCCTAAACACTTACATTTGATCTGTTTCCTAAACAGTTGCATCCATGCTGTTTGCTAGATACTTGTATCTATTCTCTTGTACAACTATTTATTTCTATCTTGTTTCCTGAATATTTACATTTATGCTGTTGACTCAACATTTACATCCATGTTTACATCCAGAGGCATAGTAATGGATGTGCTGGCCGTACCAGGTGTCATCATAGGGTAGGGGTAAAATGGCCAATATACGTATTTTTCACACATCATAATGTGTGTGAGTGTGTTTGTGTGTTGGGGTGGCAGGACATTTTCCGCACTGGGGACGACCTGACCTTGCTATGTTATTGTTTACATCCATGCTGTTTCATAAACATTTACATCCATGATGTTTCATAAACAGTTACATCCAAGCTGTTTCATAATCGTTTACATCCAAGCTGTTCCATAAACATTTACATCCAAGCTGTTTCATAAACATTTACATCCAAGCTGTTTCATAAACATTTACATCCAAGCTGTTCCATAAACATTTACATCCAAGCTGTTTCATAAACATTTACGTCCAGGCTTTTCCTAAACATTTTCATCTAGATTGTTTCATAGACAGTTACATCCAAGTTGTTTCATAAACATTTACATCTAGGCTGTTTCATAACACTTATGTTTCATAACACTTATGTTTTATTGCACTTACACCTGCTGGTATCATTTCTGTGCAGACTACCAAAGCCACAGTTTCCCGCCTTCACCAATCTCTCTGACTACGGCGCTGACTGTATCATCATTGCTGTGGTTGCATTCGCTCAGTCTGTCTCCTTAGCTGTGCTCATGGCCAAGAAACACCACTATGATATTGATTCTAATAAGGTAAACATTTACCCATTTCATGTGTTCATTCTTTAACATTGTATTAGTGTAATGTGGGAGTTGAATGGTCTTTGAGGCAGACCAAGAAGACGACGGACAGGTAACAGCCAGGCATATCTACAAACATTTGGTGACACCAACTGGAAAGAGAATGTCAACCATAGAGATGAATGAAGGTGGGTGATGTCTACAGCCAAAAACCTCAAGGGCTCGGAATGCTGAAGAAGAAGAAGAATTGATGTAATATGTAGCACAGGTCTCTTTCTTCATTTATGTTGGGTCAAACATAGGTTCATCTTTTTTGTTTGATACCCAAAGGAGTCAACTGGAAGATAGTTGTGCAAATGTGGTACTGATAATCATGTTTTGTTTTCTTTTTTGTTTGCACTGGGTGATTTTTGTTTCCTCAAATAAATCTTTCAACATTTGCAGTCGTGCCAGTTGGTAATGATGTTTCCCCAACTGAAGCCATCGCTAAAATATTGAACTAAAATTAAAACCTTCTTGGCATGTCAAGATGCGCCATTACCTAGTCAGTGTGGCGGAGTGGGGGGGGGGGTGGAAAAAAAGGGGGGGGGGGTTATCAGTAGCCTACTTTGACATGGCGCCCAGCGTGGTTTCTTAAAGGCCGAATTAAAAAAATAACAGTCTTCTTAAAGGCCGAATTAAAATCTAGTCTGGCAGCACAAAATGGATTAAACTTCCAGTCAAAGTCGTACACTGAGACTGTCATGGAAAGATATAAAACTGAACAAAAAGTACATCAATGAGCTTCACAATATGACAAATACAAACGGAAAGTTAATGTTACGGCTATAGAGCCTTCATCAGCACATTACATAAATAGAACAAAACTACACGAATACACGAAACTGCTTTTTTAACTGGCATATTCCCGAAGCAGCCAAGTTGATGTCTTGCCAATGGAATGAAAAGACGCGGGCAGCACTAAAATAAATAGCCGAAAATGCCAAATGTGTAACATTTTTGTCAACTGATTTTTGCTCGGCGCTGAACTGGTCAACATCTCACCGGCCACATTTACTTCCCAGGACTCTACCTGGTACCTATTTTAGATTGCTAAACCTGGAACCATAGTGAGTTTTAACCAGGAAATCTTACTCAGTACAGAACCTCTATCATGATTCCCAATGTGGAAAAACCTCACGGAAGGTCGTATTAAATTAATGAAGCCCTGTCTTGTGCCCATGCATTTTTTAGTTCACTAATTTGCATTCTGGATATTTCAGGAACTTATCGGCTATGGGATGGGAACCCTTGTTGGATCTTTCTTCTCCTGTTATCCAATTGCCGCTTCTGTCTCTCGCAGCTCGGTCCAGGATTCCACAGGTGGTAAAACTCAGGTACATTTTATAGATAACCATTTTTTAAGAGAGTGCTAAAATGTTACATATAACCTGTTCTGCTGTATGGCAGCGAATTTTGGAATGTCTCTGAATAAATTAAGATGATTTTGGAGGCAACAGAGATGTGGTTTCTGAGACGAATCTTATGAATACCTTGGACAGCCAGAGTAACTAGCAATGATTACTTGAAAGAGGCTAATGAAAGTCGATCTCTATATACAACAGTAGGAAAGAGACAAACACTGTTCTTTCGCCACATAATGAGAAGACAATGGAGAACATCGTGACAACTGGAAAGATCAGTGGGAAACTGGGAAATGGCAGACCAAGAGAGATAATGCTGTATGGGCTAAAGCGAGGGCATAGAGGGATATCATCAAGAGTGATGTTCCAGGCAACCAGGGATCGTGATCTGTGGAGACACATAAGCGCCTACTCCAGTTGACAGGGCACATCATGATTATGAATCATTTTATCAGTAAAATATAATATTGTTTAACAGATAACATTGCTCAGGAATTTATATAAATTATTATGTATTATAGCACAAATATTATATTACATATATTATTACTGAAATTATGGGATATGTCTGTTGTTTATGACATGCATTATACTTGACTGAGACAACTTGAGTCTGTTGACTGTGGCAGAATCAAATAACAAAGCCAAGAAAATTTATGTTTGCCAGATTTCCAGCTTGGTGTCGGCCACATTGGTTCTCATTGTGATTCTCTTCATTGGACCATTGTTTGAAAATTTGCCTAATGTAAGTTCTTGAAAATGTATCCAATGTAAGTTCTTGAAAGTTTACATAATGTTGTGTAAGTTCTTAGTTTTGTTAGTTTGCCTAATGTAAGTTTTTGAAAATGTACCCAACGTGTTCTTGAAAATGTATCCAATGTAAGTTCTTGAAAATTTACCTAATCTAAGTTCTTGACAATTTACCAAATGTAAGTTCTTGAAAACCAAAGAATTTGACAAAGTTAAACATGAGGAGATGTTAAAAAGTAAAGTAAAGGACCCTTTTCCACGCCTTTAGGCTGTAGGGCATATAGGGCTAGACCTATATTTTTATAGACCATTCAGCACAAGACGGGTGATGTGGTCAGCATCACGCCGGCTGCCTTTACCTCCCGAGACTGCACCCATTCAAAGCTGGGTCGACCTGGGAGCCAAGGTAATTTTTAAAAAATAGTCCGGCTCCGCCAGGGAGCGAACCCACAACCTTCCGATCCGCGGCGAGCATCTAGCCGCTCGGCCACGACGACTCTCAAAGTTAAACATAAGTGAGATGTTAAACATGAGGAGGTGTTAAGCATGAGGAGATGTTAAACATGAGGAGGTGTTAAACATGAGGAGATGTTAAACATGAGGAGTTGATAAAAATGATGGAAGATAACAATGTAGACGGGAAAGATCTCGGAATAATTTAAAACATTTACTGGAACCAAGTAGCAACAATTAAAGAGGGAAATAGATTGGGTACTTTTGAATAGATAAAGCAAGAAGCAAGACAGGGGTGTGTCTTATCCTCAGACCTTTTCCCTCTTTATAGTGAAGTAATTTTGAAGGAAATTAAAGAGAAAGCAGGAGTAGACAATTTGCATCATGCAGATGATACACATATTTGGGCAGTAATGTAGATAAAGATGGGGGAATTGATAGAGATATTAAAAAAAGAATACAAAAGGCAAGAGGAGATTTCATAGCACTAGGGAATTTGTGGAGGTCAAAAGAAAATTAATAGAAATACTTAATTTCAAATTTTTAATTCTAATGTCAAATCAGTACTTGTGTATGGGACAGAAACATCGAGAACAACTAAGTCAACTACTAATAAATTGCAGACATTCATTAACTGGTGCCTGCACAGAAGAGAGGGGAATTAAATGGTATGATAGAATAACTAATGTAGAGCTTTGGGAGAGAACTAAGCAAGTTCCAGTAGACCAAGAGGTGAGGAAAAGACGCTGGCGTTGGATAGGACACACATTGAGAAAACTGGAGAACAGCATAACTAGAATGTTTTTGCATTGAAACTCACAGGGGCCTAGGAATAAAGGTAGGCCAAAAAAAAACACACGCAGAAGAGAGCTGGAGAATGAAGTTAGAAAGATGGGGAGGACAAGGGGAGAGCTCCATGTAATAGCAAAAAATATAACGACTTGGCGTGAGTTGTTTGGGGATAGAAAGGCAGAAGAAGAAAGAACACAAAATAGGGTTTGAACTGATTTACAACAACTTCTGGATATTGTGGGGATGGGGAAAGCTAAGAAAGGACATCCTTGAATATTAAGAAACCGGAAGTAATGGTCATATCAAGGAAGAAGTTAACTCCACATTGTAATATCTCATCAGAAGGAACAAGACTTCAAATGTAAAATTTGGTTCCTTTTTCTCATGAAACAGAATTTTTATTTTTATTTTTATGGTCTAGATCATTGCTATTTAACTAAGTGTACTTAGGGGCCACAATTGTGAAAATAGGGTCAACGGGTCAAAAGCCTGAGCTCCAGGGTAGAAAAATTATTATTGCAATACAACTGCAGTGATTCGTGGGCCTCTTGCTAGGCCTCCGTGGACCAGATGTGGCCAGCGGGCCTACAGTTGAATAGCCATGGTCTTGTTATTTTTGCGTTGACTTAATATTTAAATATTTTTTTTATTATTCCTGTGATCTACATATAGTCTCATTATTGTGTACACACACACACATGCAAGTACACATGAGCGCCCACATACACACACACATGCGTGCACACACACGAGTGCACACACACACGCGTGCACACACACGAGTGCACACACACGCACACACATGCGCTCGCGCGCGCACACACACCCACACATTGGCTCAATATTATCTTCATATGATCATTATTCTTCCCACAGTGTGCTCTATCAGCCATCATTATGGTGGCACTAAAGAGCATGTTCATGCAAATTCTAGAGCTGAAGACACTGTATAAAGTCTCCAAGTTTGACTTCGTAAGTTTCCTTTTGTCATTTTCTTTTTATGTCACACTCACAAACCAGGTTTATGGGCATTGGTATGTTTGAATATGTAATTAAGACTATCATTTTTATTAGTGTTTTAATTATATTTATTCTGTACATTTTTTTTGTGTGTGTGGTGTTTTTTTTTTTGGGGGGGGGGGGGGGGGGGGTGGGGGGGGGGGGGGGGGGGGGGGGGGGGGGGGGGGGGGGGTGGGGGGGGGGGGGCATCTTTCTGCCTTTCCACACCACGGTGCTTAATTGTGCTATAGGGCAGTGGTTCTCACACTAGGTGTCGTGGCACCCAGGGTTGCCTCTAGGGTATGCCAGGGGTGCCGCGACAATAATCAAGAATATTTCCAAAATATTTGCTTGAGATAAGCAAGACAGCAGATTTAAACAAATGTACCACGAAGGAAGCCAAGAATAAGGTGCAGGTGTATTCAGACAACAAAGATATTGACAAGACTGCAGTGCATTCTTAACGTACGCTTTTATAAAAAAACAAAAAAAACAAAAAAGATACAGGAGCTACTTTCAAGTGATTTGAGGGGACAGTTAACTAAACTTCTCATAAACATAAAGAAGAAAATGAAAATACATCCAGACAATTTCATTCATCGCATTAAAGACAACTTAACATTAAATTTGTTGTTTTTTTCTTCTTTTATTCCAAGTATTCAAACCGCTATGAAGGTAGGTGTGCCTCGAGAAAAAAGTTAACTTGACAAGGGTGCCGCAGCAAGAAAAACTTGAGAAACGCTGCCATAGGGTATCAGACATGCAGTGCACTGTGCATTCTGTCTGTTCTATCTTCTTTCCTGGAATATCTGTCAGTCAAGGCTGAGAGCTGAGTTTTCAGGCTGCATTTCTTGATTCTATGAGAAGATTGGTATCCTCTCCGATCCGCTTCTCCGCCCCAAGCCACTGGCATAAGTGGGATGTCAGGTTTAGTATATGCAGCCTAAGATTCAGTGTTAAAAGAGAAACATTAACTTTAACATATCTTCGTCTATAACTTCTTTAAACTTCTTAAACATAACCTTAAATGTATCTTCTTCTATAACTTCTTTTAACTTTTTTGAATATTAACTTTAACGTGTCTTCTTTTCTAACTTCTTTTAGCCTTCTAAACATTAACTTTAAAGTATCCGCTTCTATAACTTTTAAAAAACTTTTTAAACTTTAACTTTAACATATCTTCTTCTATAACTTCTTTTAACTTTGTAAACATTAGCTTTAAAGTATCATCTTCTATAAATTAAAAAAAAAAAAACTTTTTAAACATTAACTTTAACGTATCCTCTTCTATAACTTCCTTTAACTTTTCAAACATTAACTTTAAAGTATCCTCTTCTATAACTTTTTAAAACTTTTTAAACATTAACTTTAACGTATCTTCTTCTATAACTTCTTTTAACTTTTTAATCATTAACTTTAAAGTATCTTCTTCTATAACTTCTTTTAACTTTTTAATCATTAACTTTAAAGTATCCTCTTCTATAACTTCTTTTAACTTTTTAAACATTAACTTTAAAGTATCCTCTTCTATAACTTCTTTTAACTTTTTAAACATTAACTTTAAAGTATCCTCTTCTATAACTTCTTTTAACTTTTTAATCATTAACTTTAAAGTATCCTCTTCTATAACTTCTTTTAACTTTTTAATCATTAACTTTAAAGTATCCTCTTCTATAACTTCTTTTAACTTTTTAATCATTAACTTTAAAGTATCCTCTTCTATAACTTCTTTTAACTTTTTAAACATTAACTTTAACGTATCTTCTTCTATAACTTCTTTTAACTTTTTAAACATTAACTTTAACGTATCTTCTTCTATAACTTCTTTTAACTTTTTAAACATTAACTTTAACGTATCTTCTTCTATAACTTCTTTTAACTTTTTAAACATTAACTTTAACGTATCTTCTTCTATAACTTCTTTTAACTTTTTAAACATTAACTTTAACGTATCTTCTTCTATAACTTCTTTTAACTTTTTAAACATTAACTTTAACGTATCTTCTTCTATAACTTCTTTTAACTTTTTAAACATTAACTTTAACGTATCTTCTTCTATAACTTCTTTTAACTTTTTAAACATTAACTTTAAAGTATCCTCTTCTATAACTTCTTTTAACTTTTTAATCATTAACTTTAAAGTATCTTCTTCTATAACTTCTTTTAACTTTTTAATCATTAACTTTAAAGTATCTTCTTCTATAACTTCTTTTAACTTTTTAATCATTAACTTTAAAGTATCTTCTTCTATAACTTCTTTTAACTTTTTAATCATTAACTTTAAAGTATCCTCTTCTATAACTTCTTTTAACTTTTTAATCATTAACTTTAAAGTATCTTCTTCTATAACTTCTTTTAACTTTTTAATCATTAACTTTAAAGTATCCTCTTCTATAACTTCTTTTAACTTTTTAATCATTAACTTTAAAGTATCCTCTTCTATAACTTCTTTTAACTTTTTAATCATTAACTTTAAAGTATCCTCTTCTATAACTTCTTTTAACTTTTTAAACATTAACTTTAACGTATCTTCTTCTATAACTTCTTTTAACTTTTTAATCATTAACTTTAAAGTATCCTCTTCTATAACTTCTTTTAACTTTTTAAACATTAACTTTAACGTATCTTCTTCTATAACTTCTTTTAACTTTTTAAACATTAACTTTAACGTATCTTCTTCTATAACTTCTTTTAACTTTTTAAACATTAACTTTAAAGTATCCTCTTCTATAACTTCTTTTAACTTTTTACACTATCGTATCTTCTTCATTTTGTTCTGTCAGTGGTTTTCAGACAAACAAATACCTCTGCCCATCTTCGTGCAGGTCTACCCTGCCCCTCCTTCTTGGTACCATGAACTCTGTTATTATTTTTCTCCAAACCACCATGGCCCTTGATGCGGCCAAAATATTTCAGCTTCCGAGACAAGACGATGAATTTTTTTTTTTTATCTTTAGATCTTTTATGACATCAGTATTTCTGTTCTTTTTTGTCCATATTTTTCTGAGAATGCGGCGTCCGTGGCTTAGGCGTTGCGAGTAATCCAGCGAAACCCACTGCTGGCTGCGTGGATGTTTATCATGGTATGGGGCTTCGAAGGTCGACTTAGCCTAAAATGGGTACCAGGATGGGCTGTCCTGGGGAAGTAAGACAGCCGGCGTAATGCTGACCACATTACCCACCAAGTGCTGATGGTCTGTAAAAAAATGGACGCTCTTCCCATATGCCCGATAAGCCTAAAGACGTGGAAAGGGATCTTTACTTTACTTATTCTGAGAATATTCTTTCTGCAGCAATCCACCTCAAAAGCGGCTATTTTCTCCCCAAAGGACTGCAAGATACTCTTTATTTAGTTTTGTGTTTAGATCTCAAACTTTATTTGTTTCATCGTCATCATCATGTGCCCTGCCAACTCTGTGCTCTGTTGGTTCCAGGCTCCCAACGTGGCAAACAAAGGTGGGGGGGGGGGGGGGGGGGAGAACAGACTCACTGTCTTCAAACAAACATCTCATGAAGGGTGCGTCTGATAATTTACTAAAATTTGATGTGTAGCTTTAGGGGGTTGCGTGGTCTCGAGGCATGGTGTCCGCCTCGAGTGCTGGAGATTCCGGGTTCAATCCCCTGTAAGGGCTGGGACTTTTTAACGGGGAATTGGACTTCTAATAATTCCCCCTGATCTCTGGGTAGTGAGATCGGACGCCCGTGTGCATTGTTGCGCACGTAAAAAATCCATTGGCAGTTGAATATCGAAAAGAGTAGCCAAACGGCGCTGCACGGGCAAAAAATTTGAGTTAAAAATCTACCCAAAGTATTTCAGGATCCTCACCGGTGCTACAGAACCTGTGCACTGTGCTAAGCTTTTTCGGACTCAAACTTGAGTTAGAAGAAGAACAGAGAATGTATGGGTTACTTTGTGATCCTTTGTTCAAAGCTCAAAGATATTTAGCTCTAAACCATAACACAACTTACCAACAGCCCCTTGGAGTATGAATGCAGATGAAAAGGAAAAAGATACTGTTAAATACGATCTTGATTTCTGAAGAGGTCAGATATCTGTTATATGTTTCAGGCCATCTGGATTGTGACCTTCCTTTGTGTGGTCATCTTGCATGTAGACATGGGCCTTGTTGCCGGTATTGTCTTTGCTTGCTTCACGGTTGTCATCCGGTCACAAGTGTAAGTGTTTAGTCTCTCTCTCTCTCTCTCTCTCTCTCTCTCTCTCTCTCTCTCTCTCTCTCTCTCTCTGTGTGTGTGTGTGTGTTTTTTTTCTCTGTGCAAGTTTCTGTTTGTCTTTGTATGTCTCTCTTTCTTTGTGTATGATTTTTTCACATTAATATAACATCTCTAAATGTTCCTTTGTCTCAAATATGTATTGCATTTCTCAGTAATCTTATCATCTCTCTCATTTATGTAACACACACAAATGTATTTTTTCTAAGTCTTCATGAGCCACCATTGTGTAGTGGCTAGAGGCACGCCTGCAGATTCAAGGGTCATGGGTTCAGAGTGATGAATCCGCCCCCCCCCCCCCGCCCCCTCCACAAAAATTACATTGGCTTGCAATATTAAATGGGTAACAGGTAAAGTACTGGGAAGTAAAGGCAGCCAGTATGATGTTGACCACATTACCCACCATGTGCTGATTGGTCTGTAAAATATAGGTCTAGCCCTATATGCCCTGTATGACTGATGGCATGAATAAGGGTCCTTTACTTTACTGCCTCTGTCTTCTCTCAGATTTCTCTAGCAAAACTCGAAGTTATTGTCTCTGTGATATCTCTCATATTTATATAACAATGCTAAGTATTTCTTTGTTTAAAGTCTCTTCATTTATACACAGGATCCCCCGTGTGGGTTCCGGGGCTCTATTATAGGGAAAACTAGAATAGACCCACTGCCTACCCAAAAGCATGTTAGTATACAAGACGTTTTTAATGATTATAAACATGTGACTTCTTAAAATGTTCAGGAGGGGGCTGGGTGGTTTCGAGGAATGGTGTCCGCCTCGGATGCTAGAGGTTCCGGGTTCAATCCCCGGTAAGGGATGGGATATTTTTCACGTGGACTTGGACTTCTAGTAATTACCTTGGTCTCTGGGTAGTGAGATAAGACGCCTGTTTTCATTGTTTCACACGTAAAAAAAAAATAAACATTCACAGTTTTAAATTGAAAAGAGTAGCCTAAAGGCGCTGCTGGGGCTAAACACTGTGCTGAGCTTCTTCGGACTCAGGCTTGGGTTAGAAGAAGAACAGAGCACTTATGGGTTACTACCTGTGTTCCCTGTGTGGGTTCCGGGACCCTATTTTAGGGAAAACAAGAATAGACCCACTGCCTACCCAAAAGCATGTCGTAAGAGTCAACTAATTGGGAGCTTCCTTCGAAGTCGATGTGCATCTGCATGAGAGGCAAGGAACCAGCAGTCTGTATACATATGAGTCAGATCTGTGAAACGGATGCATACGCATCACTCAGGTTCTGGAACAGGACTGCAGTCCAGAAGTGGACGAACAACCAGACCTTACCGCCAGAGTTTACAGTTGGTGTACGCAAAGAAAGAAAAAGAAGACTACATGTGTGCCATAATGTTGGTCCGTTGTTCACACCTCAAACTTCAACATGGGCATAATGATAGCCCAGACAGTGTTTAGATAGTGTTTAATCTCCTGCCACATATTGTGACTCTTGTCCAGAGTTACAGTTGCAGTTGCTGAGGCGACCATCTCTTGAAGATGCTGAATGTTTTCTCATTTTCTCAGAGCCATTTTAAGCCTCAGAGTCACACAAGGTCACGTGAAACTGTATACTTTTGTAATAACTTTTTAGTGCTGACAATCATTCTCGATTGCCATGTAAATATGCGTACGTGCGGGGTGGGGGAGGGGGGAGGGTGGACGGTCAAGCGGGTTGGAGGGTGGGTGGGTGTGTTTTTGTGCTCATATGAGAACATATAAAAACCAATTGGTAGGTAGGTGCTTTGCTTGGGAGAAAAATCATCACTTTCAACCAACATCCATAAAGGGGGCACTTTAGGTTGTAATTGTGACTAGCTTATGTGCACCATATAAAATTGCCTATCATTGCGCGCCAACAAGAGCCCTGAAAAGGACTCCGGCAGTGGTGATGCGATCAAAGGAGACAGACCCACATACTGTCCCAGACCGGTAATGAAGTTCTTTACTGGCGAGCCAATGGGCGACCTGGTGCCGGGGGGAGGGGGGGGGGGGCATTGAGTTTCTGCATATGTGTTTATTATTGGGGGATCACAGAATTTAGGCTAGCGTGTGTTTTACATTCAGTGCGAAAGTGACCACTCTGGAGAAATTGGCAGACATGGATGAATACAGACCTACCTCACTCTACTCCAAGGTAAGCTCCGTGTGCTGTTTTATTGTTTTACATTCTCTCAAAAGAAACAAACTACATTCTAATTCAAAAATAAGATTTTGCTGTTCTCATTTTTGTTTCAGTGTCTTTAAGGTAAGACTTAATCGTGAGGGATCCATCTGGTGGTCGACGAACCCCCTGGGTCCTATAAACAAATTGAATGGGTCTATGATTTTAAGTGGAAAAACAAACAGATTAAACAGCAAAACAAAAACAATAAAAACACTTTAGAGCGTAATCCTTTTTTGCGATTCTAACATACATTCTCTACTATCTATACAATCAGACAGCTACTGACTAGCGAAATTTCAACTCTTCTCTTGCTGCTGAAGATGGGGATGGAGCGTTTATGGGGGTTTCCCAAGTGCTGTGATGATGATTTTCTCTCTCTCTCTCTCTCTCTCTCTCTCTCTCTCTCTCTCTCTCTCTCTCTCAAAATCAAAACTTACCATTGTTTTAGGATAGTGTACACAGGGTGGTCATGGATTGAGCCCAGCATGTTTAGTTGTGACTCCACTGACTGTACAAGTAAGAAAGTTTATTTTTGCCCCGGACAGAAAAAAACTCAATCACCTTACCGAGCATCGAACCTGGGTCTCATGCATAAAAGCTTATTGCTGTAACAACTCGACTAGTGGCCTCTTTTATATTCAAAAGCTATAATAGAGTCTTTGGTACGACTATTAAAAAGTATAGGGTCTGTGCCAGAGTTTAAAACATATAAGAGGAATTCGTGTTTCTACACCAAATGTAATGTCCACTGTAATGGATGGTTAGCCAGTTAATTCTTACATTAGCTTTGTGTGTCCAGTTAGGAATGACGTCATGAAAGAAAATGTTAGCACAGATCAAATTCTAAAGAAAATACAAAGATAACAAATCAATTTGCATGAACATGCTCTTTAGTGCCTTGTAACGCTAGACCATACAAACAGAACAAATCAAATGGTTTGCTAACTTGCAGAGAATGCCTTGTAACGTTAAAACATACGCAGACAACAAATCAAATGGTTTGCCAACTTGCAGAGAATGCCTTGTAACGCTAGACCATACAAACAGAACAAATCAAATGGTTTGCTAACTTGCAGAGAATGCCTTGTAAGCTAGACCATACAATCAGAACAAATCAAATGGTATGCCAACTTGCAGAGAATACCTTGTAACACTAGACCATACAAATAGAACAAATCAAATGGTTTGTAAATTTGCAGAGAATACATTGTAACGCTAGACCATACACATAGAACAAATCAAATGGTTTGCCAACTTGCTGAGAATGCTTTGTAACGCTAGACCATACAAACAGAACAAATCAATTAGTTTGCCAGCTTGCAGAGAATGCCATGTAACGCTAGACCATACAATCAGAACAAATCAAATGGTTTGCCAACTTGCAGTGAATGCCTTGTAACGCTAGACCATACAAACAGAACAAATCAAATAGTTTGCCATCTTGCCGACAATCCCTTGTAAAGCTAGAACATACACAGACAACACATCAAATGGTTTGGTCACTTGAAGAGAATGCCTTGTACCGCTAGACCATTTAAAGCATGCACGCGTGCTTGCACAAACAAACAAACAAACACACACACACACGTACGCACTCAAGCACGCAGGTTGAGAGGGAGGTAGAGTCCATTGTAGACCAAGAACAAGATGGAAAAATCAGATAGAGAAACTCTACAACAGCGAGATGTGTTTATAGTCGAGGCTGCTAGAAGAGGAAGACCAGAACCTGATATCTTCCTCGACAATTAAAGCAGTAAAAGAGTAAATGAAGGAGATTTTTTTTTACAGCTGTCTGTGTCACACGAAAAACATCTTACGCAATATATCCTTGTCATTGAAGGTTAGAAAAAGAATTCTTGCTTGCTACATACATCCAGTTTTAACATATGGCTTTGAATCCTGGACAATCGGTAGGCAGTCCAAACAATTTCTAGAGGCCTCAGAGATGAGGTTTTACAGAAGAATGCTTAGAATACCTTAGACAGCCAAAAAGAGCAACCAAGCGGTTTTGAAAGAGGCGGGAGCCCGAAGACAACTTATCACAGACATCAGAAGGAGACAGTCATCATTTTTTGGCCATGTTATGACAAGAGGAAAAATAGAACATGTTGTGACAACTGGAAAGATCTGTGGAAGGAGGGATAGAGAAAGACAACGAGAGAAGATGCTTGACAGTCTTGTTGCAAGGCACGGAGGTGTGTCGGCACACTAACTGATACATGCTGCAGGAGATCGCAGATTATGGAGAGGCATGATCGCCCACGCCAGTCGGCAAGGCACCTGATGATGATGATGATGTCACACTTTAAAAATGCGTGTTCTTCTGTAAGAGAGTCGGTTACGTTTGAATGTGTTTTTAGTTAGGTACTTTAAAGTAAAAAACCCTTTTTCATGCTTTGAAATGTATTTGGCTTAATGTAGCCTAATATACACTTGGTAGGGGATGTACTCAGTATCACGCCGGCAACCTTTACTTTCCAGGAATTATACCTGGTACCAAATTAAGGCTGGGTTGATCTGGAGCAAGGTGATTTCTGGGAAAAGTCTAGCACAATTTGGGTTTAAACCCATGACCTTGTGATCCACAGGCCAACATCTAGCCATTACACCACATTGGCTCTATTGATTTTAGATAATTTAGCTAAATATATTCATATACTAGATTCAACTTGTTTAATTCTACGCTTGCAACTTTATGAGATTTAGTAAAATATATCAGGTCATTCCCCCCCCCCCCCTTTTCCAGCAATCAGAGTTTGCTATGTATTTTTTTCAGCAGAGTGGCAAGAATGAGCTCAGAGACCCGGGGTAGAAAACATTCTTTGGATATTATCTCTACTGTCTGCATGAATGGTGGGGAAAAACCCAGCAGATAGACTGGCTGGCTCTACAACAGTGGGGGTTGAATTTATGCATGACAAGCTAGATTATCAAGGTCCTGTAAGAGCAAGTGAACAAAGCAAAGGCATGAATCGATCATTGTGATCTGGAGAGAATGGTACAGCTAGGAATGACCAGCGGATGCGATCAACACTCAGAGAAAAAGCAAGACTGACATTTAATCAACTGCTACTAGTACCAGTGGAACAAGAACTCTTCGCCGGGGACAGATGAGGACGGAGCACTTATGGGAATGTCCCGAGTACTGGAATTTTATTTCTTAGCTCATTACTCAACACTCATCACTCAACACTCAACACTCATTACTCAACACGCATTACTCAACACTCAACACTCATTACTCAACACTCATTACTCAATACTCATTACTCAACACTCAACACTCATTACGCAACACTCAACACTCATTACTCAACACTCATTACTCAACACTCAACACTCATTACCCATTACTCAACACGCATTACTCAACACTCAACACTCATTACTCAACACTCATTACTCAACACTCATTACTCAACACTCATTACTCAACACTTATTACTCAACACTCATTACTCAACATTCATTACTCAACACTCATTACTCAACACTCATTACTCAACACGCAACACTCTTTACTCAACACTCATTACTCAACACTCAACACTCATTACTCAACACTCATTACTCAACACTCATTACTCAACACTCATTACTCAACACTCATTACTCAACACTCATTACTCAACACTTATTACTCAACACTCATTACTCAACACTCAACACTCATCACTCAACACTTATCACTATTCCAGCAGAGGTCATAAACAGGATAGAGTAATTGAGCTCTTCACAGCCGCCCCATAGTTTGTCTGCTAGGGTTGCTCCTGTGAGCCACATTTCTTCTCTCTGACCGGTAGAGACAGGACATTCTGATAAAATGAGACATGCTCCGGAGTTTGATTTATGCCCCAAAACAACACGACAGATTCAGAAAGTCATACTGTGTCATATAGTGTATTATTTGTTTGTTGTCTATGTTGACATATTATACACATAAATATATATATATGATATTTATAATTTGCAGACAGAACCTAGTCCACGTATACGTATTGTCTCGTACAATGCACCTCTGTACTATGCGAATTCCGAGCTGTTCCTGAAACATGTACACCAGGAGACAACCGTGAAACCTGAAAAAATGAGGAAAGTGCTCAAGAGATTGACGACCCTTAATGACCCCATGCACGTAAGTAGAAGTGCGGCACCAGTCGCTTATGTTACTGAAATAATTAGAGTGTTTATGAGAGCATTAATAGATTCTCTGCCTATGTGCTTGCAGCATTTCTTGTTCAAGGAGTTCCACATATGTATTGTTTTTCAGCCTTCTCCATGACCAGCAGCATGACGATGGAGGTGATGGCAGTGACGCAAGCGCTTGCCTGGCTTGAAACACAAAAATACACCCGCGTGTGTATACTCAGTGATTCAATGAGTATGATCCGGAGGGTTCAGGCAGGTTCAGTGCGAAGACAATGGCTGGAATCATTACAGAAGTCCACTGCGCGTGGAGTCACCTTTATTTTTGTTCCGGGACACGCAGGCGTCGATGGAAATGAAAGAGCTGACAGGTTGGCTGGATTCGCTATCACTACCGACGGTCAGCCTATGGATCATGCTGATATTATTAATGCCCTCAGAGAAATGGGAAGGATAGAGGACTTTGGTGGCAGTGAATCCACATCACTCGCCAGAATGGCAGACTTGGGAATTAAGATCGGCACAACAAAAAACGAGACGCACACCAGACACGCCAGAAGACTTGTTAATCAACATAGAACTGGTACTATTAGCCATCGGACGTTGGGTTTCATACTGAGGGGAGGATCTGAGCACCTATGGACATGTCCGGAGTGCAATGAGGATAACCCAACTAACTAACTAACTAACTGTTTTTCAATTTCTCCAGTTACGTTATTGAAATGTTGGGGGATAGATCGCCTGTAAGCTTTCCAAATGTGTTGTTTCGTGTTGTTATCCATGTATCTCTCGACCATATATGATGTTACACTACTTCCTGTCGTTTTGAGGATGAAGTTTTTCGTTATTTGAAGCCCTACTCTGCTCTTGCCAGGGGCCGCAATATAGCTTAGCCATAAATATGGCCTAAAGGCTGAACGCGGTTTCTGGGACCTCTCCACGGTGATCCTCATCCACATGATGGTACTCCTGTGTTATCGGGTGTTTATTGCTTGTGTGATGTCCTGGTGGGGTAGAAAGTCAGTCAGTCAGTCATGTATCTAAGGTTCTTCCTGACACATATACTGCCTCTTGTGTATTGTCTCCCCTTGCTCGGTGCCAATTTTTGTCTTCATCATGCCTGTCTGCGTTGGTTGGTATGTGGGAATTGTTGTCAGATGGAAATTACACATACACGAATGTGATGAAATGAATAATACGTTCTGGCTCAGTAAGCTGAAAAAATTTGAATGTGGGATCCTAGAATGTCATTAGCTATGTTTTCTGTGTCACAGTAGCTAGTCAGTTAGTTAGGTGACGTGACAGATGATCATGGCACATCGAATCATTCAGTCCATTAGGGTTTTGTACCATTCCCTTAAAGACTTTACAGTTATAAATACATGCGCAAAGCTAAGTTCCATAAACTTTACAGCTATAGCTGCATACATTTAAACAAACGCTAGTCTCCCCAAACAAAGTAGGTCACGTTCCATTCATAAGTTTTTTTTAATAGTCTGCCTTGCTGGAGTTTACGGGTGTGCCCCTCTTTTGTTTTATTGCTGGGTTGTCTTGTATTTACGTTTTTATTCCGAGAAAGAGAATGCCTGTGACATAGGTTTCATCACTTTTTAAAGGGTTTTGTGTTAGAACCGGTTTGTTGGTGTTTTTGTAGTGTTAAAAGTGCTACCATGCTGAAATATACAACACGTGACATCAACGGCATTGCGGAACACCCCCGCAACCAAGTGCCAAGAACACGTGGCTCAAGGTCAACCAACAAGAAGTGACCTAGGCTGAAGGTCGATCAATCAGAAGTGAGCTAGTGTGTAATACTGTGTAAATTGGGAGAGCAGCGTTACTATTATCCTGCATTCATAAGGTCATACTGAGTTTACAAATATAAACAAATATGCAAATCTAAGCTGTAATAACTTTATAACTATACTTGCTTGTGTAAGTTAATATTGCTTGGACTTTAAAACTTTATTCATTGAAATGTCTATGTGCAAGTATTTGAACTGCAGTAAAGTTGTAGAAGAAACGTCTTGTTAATTATTTCTACAGGATAACAAGAAGAAACTCGACGATTCCAGAATTGTCGAAATTGAAACGGTCACACCTCAACCTCAACTGGACCTTTCACAGACAGCCAATGGGGACACGGCTAAAGCAGGCGCTGATCGATTGGTTGTCCACAGAGTTTCCATCATTGGTCCTTTGCCTAACCTTGACCCCCGACCTTTCTTATACCTTATTATTGACTGTGCCCCATTTACTTTTGTTGACCCAGTGGGTATTAAAATGTTGAAGCAGGTAACTAGCTTTTTTTTTGTCTTGGCAACTTTACTTAGCATCTAGTCTGTATTTATATCTTTACAAGTCTAACCGGGAGAAGGAGGGGGGGGGGGCTGCGTTGTCTTGATGTATGGTGTCCGCCTCGTGTGCTAGAGGTCCCGGGTTCAGGCCCCGATGAAGGCTATGATTTGTTTCACGTAGACTTCTAGTAATTTCCCCCGGGTCTCTGGGTAGTAAAATCAGACGCCCGTGTGTATTGTTGCGCACGTAAAAAATCTATCGACAGTTAGAAATTGAAAAGAATAGTCTAACGCAAAATATGGAGTTATAAATCTATCGAAAGTATTTGGTGCAACGGAGCTCGTGCACAGCGATGAGATTCTACGGACTCAGACTTGAGTTACAAGTAGAAGGGAGCACTTATGCCTTACACCCGTGTGGCATGATGTGACATAAACACATTCAGACATTCACAACGGCAATAACCGAGATCAATATTTATAAGGGAAGTAATTCAAATAGCAATAAACACATTCTATTATAAATAGGCAAACATGAGGACACATATTCAGACATAATAAACACACATATTCAAACATCCTTATCCACAAAGGCCTGGCCTGCAGCTTGAACTGCACTGTCATGAGTGCGCTAGTTATATCTTTTTTTTTTTTGAACGAACGAACAACTGAATGAACTTTATTTTCAAAGGGTCAAAAATTGGTCACGCAGGCCCGTCTCACATTCGGCCCTTCCAAACACCTATCTTTCACACAGCAGTTCTAGTGTATCAATAAAACATGTAAGGTTCATATAATAATATGCTAATTCCACTCACTCACTTACACACACACACACATATGCACCTTCATACACACATCCACATACATACATACATACACACGCACATACACACATACACGCACACACACACAGAGGCAGACAGACATATTGAAGGTTGAACAGGGTATCTGAGATCTGCCCTGTTAAATAGTTAAACAAGACTGTATGTGTTTGTGTGTGTTTAATTGTTAAGGGAATATACTATGTGTGTGTTCTTCTTTTTCTTCTTCCCATTGACCGACTGTAAACGCTGACACAAAGTTCTGGTTGTTTGTCCATACCTGGACTTTAGTCTTTTTCTGGAACTTGAGTTTTACATACACATTTATTTTACAAATCTGTCTAATTTGCATGCAGACTGTTGGTTCCTTACCTTTCAGGCAGATGAAGGATTTTGAAGGTGACCCCCTAAATAGTCTACCCCTACAACATGTGTGTTAAGGAGGCAATGGTTCTGCTCTGCTTTTCTCCATAATGTGTGGAGCGCTGAAACACACATGGAGAATGCTTAAGTGCAGTCAGCGTGCGGTTATAAAACGATGCAGGTACTGCAGCTGGTCCGCATGCCGTAGGTTGACTACGCCTGACATCTGTTTCAGAAATCATGTGGGTTATGTCTGAAAGATAGATGTATAGATAGATGAAAATACAGACAGGCAGACAGAGATACAGGTAGGTAGGTAGGTAGGTAGGAAGTAGATAGCTAGGTGGATCGAAACAGACAGACAGACAGACAGACAGACAGACAGACAGACAGACAGACAGACAGACAGACAGACAGACAGGCAGGCAGGCAGGCAGGCAGGCAGGCAGGCAGGCAGACAGACAGACAGACAGACAGACAGACAGAGATTAAGTTAGGTAGGTAGGAAGTAGATAGTTAGATGGATCAAAACCGACAGACAGATATAAAGTTAGGTAGTAGATAGCTAGATAGATCGAGACAGACAGACAGACAGACCCCAGATAGATAGATGCACTCAAGATTTGTTTATATAGCTACCTGATGACATTGCTATGTTGTCATCTACACAGCTTATTGAAGATTACAAGACAGTTGGTATCACCACATATTTGGGAGGAGTGAGAGGTAAGTACCATATCATAAACTATTCATCGCTCCGAAACCTCTCTACTGCATTTCGTTATTATTATTGTATTTCCCCTCTCTATCTCATAGTCTGTGAGTGAGAAAATAGCTTTTGAGCTGAAGTGCTATAGAAAGATTCTCAGGATACCAAGGACAAAGAAGGCAACAAATACTAACATTCTAACAAATCTGAACATCAAGGAAGATTGGCTAACAAACAGTATCTTGTCTCGGAACCTGAAATATTTTGGTCAAATCAAACGTTACATCGGATTAGAAAAAATCATAGCACAAGGCATGGTACCAGGAATGTGGGACAGGGCTGACCAGCATGAAGAATCGACAGAGGATATAAGTGACTCCTTAAATATGAAAGTGCATGAGGTGGGAGAGCTAGCGAGAAACCTCGTTTCTTGCAGGCAGACCGTGATGAGAGTGACATTCTGCGAAGAACCTACTACATGATGATGATGATGATGAACCCCACTGTAACGACGACTAAGAAAGTTTGAAAACCCTGGGCTAGATGCTGAGGCAGCTGACTGAGGAAATGAATGAATAGTACAGCAGAAGCCGGCCCAGATCATGTTTCCTTTGCTATCTAGGTGAAGGAAAAGTCATGTTGGCACTCCTCCGAATAACGGCCCTAATTAATCTAGCTCAAAATCATACCCTCACATTAGCCTTAGCCCTAACCCTAACCCTAACACCCAAACAAGTGAAAGGTTATTGATGCAACTCATACGGAAGCCATTTTTGTGGCCCTGTAAGGGTAGAAT